AAGCACCCTTAAGAGTCTATATAGGGTATATAGTAGGTATTTAGGGTTCCCGGGGCTAAGGGCCCATGGTTTCAACCGCTGAGGGTAATGCAAGACTTCGTCCGTTTCCCCTAAACCCTAATCCCTAAACTCCTAAACCCTCCATAATAAAACCCTCAACCCCAAACAGTAGGCCCTAAACCCTAAACTCCTAAACACCTAAACCCTAAACCCTTAAGTCCTAAACCCCTAAACCCCTAAACCCTAAACCCTAAACTCCTAAACCCCTAAACCCTAAACCCTAAACTCCTAAACACCTAAACCCTAAACCCTTAAGTCCTAAACCCCTAAACCCCTAAACCCTAAACCCTAAACTCCTAAACCTTTAAGGCGGAGCATGGACTCCTCGAAGACGCTCAGTGCCAGGCCAGGCTTCGGGTTTTGGGAACAAAGGTTTGGGCATTATGGGGTTGGAGGGTTTCAGGGTTTAGGGTTTAGGCTTTAGGGGTTTAGGGTTTAGGGGTTTAGGGTTTAGGGTTGGGTTCATATTTACTAGGACCCAGAGTAGGCCCTTTTTCCCTTTTTCAGGGATCAGGTTCCCTTATAGCGCCCTTTAAACCAAAAAGGGCACCCTTTTTATTCCTAAGTTACTCTTAGGTCTAGTTTAGAATCCTATGAGTTACTCCTAAAAAGGAACAACTATGGAGCCTCTGGGTAGCTAACAATGTAAGAGTTGCTGTTAAGTTATACAAGTAGGTTAGGTTAGTTTAGGCATTATGGGTTTAGGGGCTTGGGAGTCAGGAATCGTACTGTAGGGGTTTAGGATTTCGACGGTAAGTTCGGGTGTTACGGAGCTTTAGAGTTGATTTTTAGAGTTGCGTTTGGCCTCAAGGTTTGCAGTCCAGGCTCGCCAAGGCCTCTCTAGTCTTGCACAGACCCAGACACGAGCAAAGGCCTTTAGAAGTAATTGCAAGCAAGAGATGCAGCTAGCTGCAGGTTTTGAACCTGCAGAGGTGCTGGAGTTCGCTATAAGCTTAGATCCACAATCTTAAACCCTGCCAAGATCCAACAAGCTAAGCCATTCAAATCCTAAACTGGCCTTCCCCGAGACCACTGATCAGTCAAGCAGTAAGTCTTATGTCCTGAGCAGCAGTAGTTTTGGAACTATGCCTTATCCAAAACTTTCTCACCACGTAAACTTCCTTCTAAACGCAAAACCCTAGAAACGAATATTCTATACCCTAAAGCCCTAAACCCCTGATCCCTAAGCCCGCTCCGACGGCCCAAGCCCGGAGTCCTTGCTGTCAGGGCACCGTCATCCGAAGCAGGACCAGCTCACCCGGAGACACGGGTTTAGGGTTTAGGGTTCAGAGTAATGTAGAACCTGAGAAATTACTAACCCTAAACCCTAAACCCTAAACCCCTAAACAGTAGTTCTTATGGTTCCTTAGCATAGCTGTAATAGTAATCAGGAGCTCCAAACCTTGTTGTTTTTCTTACGGCCCCTACGTGAATGTAGGAGCCTGATTAAGAAACCCTGGTCCTAGAATCCCACAACATTCGTATCCAGAGAGTGAGCCCAAAACCCGACATCCTGGTTCTGGAACCCCAACAAATTGGGATCCATGGAGTGAACCCTTAATCATGAACCTTGGTCTTCGAACCCCAAAATATTAGGATCCACAGAGTGAGCCCTAGTCAAAACCCAGGCTTCTTCCTTGACGCTCCAATATCCCTGAAATAAAGGAATGTTCCTGAAAATCATATGAGGGATCCTACTATTTTTAGGGTAGATTCGTTAATTGAGGGAGATTGGAGTGTCTGGGTTCATCAGATTCCCACATTACGTCCGGCTCAGGTTCAGAGCTTACCGGGCTTGTGGTTCCAGGGCTCTTGCTGCACTGCAATTAACCCTAAACCCCAACCACAACTAGGATGCCCAGTAGTACCCTTATTCCTTTTTTGTAGTCCTAGGTTCCTTATAAAGTTACCCAATACCACAAAGAGAGGCCTTGTTTTTCTTAGGTTACTGGGTATCCTAGACAATCTCCACAGTCTAAACCCTCGGCTTAACAGAAAGATTCTAACTGTCCGTAATTCCTGAGCCGATTGCAAGGCTTGTAGCTTAGGCTTTGCAAGCTTTGCAATTAATACGGGTCAAAGGGGAAAAGGAGGGACCCTTAATGGGGATCCCTACCCTATAATGGGCTATATAATGGGTATATAATAGCAATATTAAGGGTATATACCTAGGGGTCCTTATTAAGGGTCCCTCCTTCTACCCTTGGAACGGGGCTTATCTCATGTTGCAAGCCTTCGAAGCTAAGCCCTCGGCTGCCGCGTTCCGGGTTCCCGGGCTCCCCTGGGGATGCGTGGATGCGCCAAGCACTGAGTTTCCGAAGATAGGGGACCCGAATATTGTACCCTAAATAATAGGACCCTTATTATAAGGACCCCAAATAAGGTATATACCCCTAAGTTTCGGAAACTCCCACATCTCCTGCTGCCTGCTGTCTAGCCATCAGCGGCTGGAAATCGATCGAGCGTGCGAGGCAGCGGATCTGTTCGCTCTGCGTGGACAGATCGCACTCAAGCGCTTCTTTCCCGAGGGCCTTCCACGAGGAAGTTGACTTCGCCACAGCAGGGGAGGATGGTCAGAGTAGAGGCGGCAGCGAGCCAGGAGCAGCCCTTGTCCTCAGGCTTTCCTGCCGTCGGCTCCCAAAGCGCCAGGGCGAACTTTGCACCACAAAGAAACCCCAAAATAGGACCCAGAGACTCCAATACCCCTTAATTAAGGAATATTCCTTAAATCATATTAAGGATCCTACTATAACTGAAGGTATATTCCTTAATTAAGGGGTATGGGAGTCTCTGGGGAGCTGCCTAAACCCTAAACCCAGGGTCTAAGCAAACAGCCGAAGCCCCCCGAATCTGAGCCCAGTGTACGAGACAGCACTTCGGATATCGGGTTTAGGGTTTAGGGTTTAGGGTTTAGGGCTTAGGGTTTAGGGTTTAGGGTTTAGGGTTTAGGGCTTAGGGTTTAGGGTTTAGGGTTTAGGGTTTAGGGTTTAGGGCTTAGGGTTTAGGGTTTAGGGTTTAGGGTTTAGGGCTTAGGGTTTAGGGTTTAGGGTTTAGGGTTTAGGGTTTAGGGCTTAGGGTTTAGGGTTTAGGGCTTAGGGTTTAGGGCTTAGGGTTTAGGGTTTAGGGTTATCGGGTTCCGTGCACAGCATCCTAGAACCCCGAAGCTCACATGAACATAGACAATAGGCTTGCTCTGAAACGGGTCTATATACGGGTTACTATCAGGGATCTGTAAGGGTGCTTTGATTTAGAGGCCTGAATAGTTACCTACTTTTTGGGGGTGCCGTATTACAACTATAGTATGTTTGGCCTCAAAACCTTATTTGTATTTATTTCTGGCACCTATATTAGAGCACCCAGAGGTCGGCTATAAGCACTGGTTTAGTTTGGCGTTCTTCATGTTTCATTGAACTCCCATTGAAGTGCATAGTATCAGTCGGCAAGGAGCGCTTTGGCTTGGGGTCTGTATGCGGGACAAGTGGCTCTAAGCCATTCGATAAATCGTGGTCCCTTCTAAACCTACTTGTGGCCAAAAACTTGCTTTCGTGAAACAGGAACGCCAAGCAGGTCGGTTTTTTCGGCTACAGGTAAAGTTTAAACCCCATAAACCATAATTAAGCCCTAAACCCTAGACCCTAAACCGTATGAACCCTAATCCCTAAACTCTATAAACCCTAATCCCTAAACTCTATAAACCCTAAGCCTTAATCCCTACAAGCCTTACGCGCTCTGACAAGGCTCTAAGGGTCTCCGGCTTAGTCCTGATTCGGATGCACCTTATCAAGACTTGCACTAGGTTTAGGATATAGGAAATGTAGTGCTTATAGGGTTTAGGGTTGAGGGTGCCGGAGGGTTCCTTGCCGTTAGGACCCTCAAGTGTCAGGAACCCAAGAACTTCGAAAAGACAAAGTCTTAGGGTTTAGGGTTTAAAGTTTAGGGAACCCAAAGAATCCAATAGCCTTTAACTAAGGAATATGGCTTAATCATATGAGGGAGCCTACAATAATTTACGAAGTATTCCGTAAAATTACGGGATATTGGAGTTTGTGGGAAGCCTTATACCTGATTAGGACCTGAGTCATGTACCCTAAACCCTAAACCCCAAACCATCTGAAGCCCTAAACCCTAAACCATCTGAAGCCCTAAACCCTAAACCCCTAAACCCTAAACCCTAAGCCCTAAGCCCTAAACCCTAAACCCTCAAGAGCAGGATAAATAGAAATTGTGTGAATTTCGCCTCGAATTGATTTGCATTTTCGATAGCATCGAATTTTCCTTAAACGTGTGCGAAGAGAGCCCAGCCCAGCACGGCACAGCCCAGTCCAGCTTAGAAGCAAAAAGCAAAACCCGCGAGCCGTCCCCCAAATCCAACAATCAAATTGCAAAAGCAAAACTAAAACCGTGCAAAACTCCGGACCCAAACCCTATACCAGCCCAGTCCAGCCCAGCCCCCAGCCCCCCCAGCCCCCGCCAGCCCCGCCAACCCAGCCCAGCCAATTCCCAAAATCAAAAAGCAAAAGCAAAAGCGAAAACCCGGCAAAACCCTCCAAAACCCCCCAAAACTCCGGGCCCAAACCCTATACAATTTCTATAAACCCTAAACCCTAAACCCTAAACCGGCTGCAGGATAGCACAAGAACGCGAAGAGAGCATCAGGCCGTCACACTCTTTTTGTGGAGGGTTTAGGGCTTCAGAGGGTTTAGGGTTTAGGGCTTCAGAGGGTTTAGGGTTTAGGGTTTAGGGCTTCAGATTTTGCATTGCCATGGTTCCCTAACTCTAAACCCCTAAACCCTTAATCCTGAGTTTAGGGCAGGGGGAGAATTGCAGGTTTACTGTTGAGGGTTGAGGGTCTGAGCCTTTCCGGCTTTTATCCTACTGGAAAGACCATGGGACTTAGTAAACAGGGATACAAGTACCGTAATTGGGGTGATAAGTAAATACGATATTAACTGTAGTTACCTTACTTCTAACCCCAATTACTACGTCCCATGATCCTTCAAGTGAACCCTGAACCCGTAGGCTTTGGCCCTGTCAGCTTTCCTCGGCATGTCCGAATCAAAGCAATCAAATCTATGTGGCTTTCTCCGGGACAATGGTGGTAGTCAGAGCTATTTTAGAATGGGGCTTGTTGGAGAGTTCACAGGCTTTCATGTGGCTGTATGGGTTTGAGAGGTTACTATAATTTCGGTTGCAAGTACTGTATCTTTGTCACTTACAGTCATCATACACATGCCTTTCATTCGAAATGTCAATCCTAACCCTTAAACCCTTTAAAACCTAAACCCTAGACCCTAAGCCCTTTGCCCTAAACCCTAAAGCCTACGATCCGTCAAGAAGCCTTGGCCCTCAACCGACAGGGCTTCAGCTGTTGGCCAACACAGAAAACCCTAAACCCCTAAACCCCGTGGGGGCCGCGATGCCTTCACTTAACGAGCGTAGTTGCAGTGACCACATTCAGGAGATCGCATCTTTGTTGCATACTCCAGTTTAGGGGTTTAGGGTTAAGGGTTCCTGAACCCTGAATATCCTACCTTTTTGAGAACTTATTTCACGAGATCACAATAAGGAGCCCTAAAAAGATAGGTTCTTCGGGGTTAAGGTATTCCTACTTTGACAACAAACCGTTCCTGGAATCGAAACTCTAATCCCCCAAAAGCTGACAGCTTGCACCCTGTAGGTGAACCTAGCAAAAATGGAGACGGCACTTCCCACCATTCGGTCAGCAGGCGCATCCAGAGCCAGGTGCACGAAGTCAACCAGATTTTCCGCGATTTGGTCCCTTGGCACGTCAGGCTTGATAGGTTTCTAGCAATTAAGGCCTAGTAGTAGAGTAGGGAACCTTTAACCTTTTGTGGGTAGTATAGTCCCTATATAACCAAAAAGGTTAACCTTTAGTTCCCCATGATACCCGACAAGAAAGAAGGGCTTATGTAGGGTTAGGACCAAGCCTCCAAAAGCCTGAGCTATCCGATTCTCAAGCCCTCGATCCTGGAATTCCGCTACGGAGAACCTGAGTCTCTGGACTCCCATAGTAAGCCGTATCGTAGCCCTTATGGTGGCCCGTTAAGGGTGGCCCTCTAAACCTACGCCCTAAACGTGTTAAAACTGACCCTGTAACCCGAAACCGTTTTTCTGCAAGCGCGGCCAAGGCATCCATCGTGCATGAGCAAGGCCACGACATTGAAAGCATCGCCTCCCGTCCTGGTTTAGTATTGGGGCCTTCAATTTTGGATAGGGATGTGGGCCGAGTTTTGTGGTACATTATACTAGAGAAATCTTAGGAACCCTAAGGAATAGTAATGGAACCCTAAGGAATAGTAATTGGTAATCTTTCAGGCTTCTAGGGTAGGGTTTCGGATTCAGGATTTAGGGTGTAGTGCTCATGGCTCCGGATCCCAACCCTATAGCCGGAACCCCTCAGAAGAATGTCAAACCCTACACCTCCATCTCATCACCCCTGAAGGTACCTGTAATCGGCCCAAAATAAGTGACACAACCCATGGCTCCTGAAGCAAGCTCGCCGCCTCTCCGATGTCGACCTGGGAGTGGTCGCGCGCATGCATTTACGAGCCGGAGCTTAAACATTTCAAAAGATTTCCCAGGGTCTCATCCATGTCGCCGGCTTGAAAGATCAAGACTCCGTGGAGACGGTGACATTTCGCAGCTGAAGACTTCAATCAGTCTCGCCTGCAGCTCGACCATTATAACCATTGAGGCGATAAGAAGCTGGAGGTCTTGCGCCAGCTTGCTAATTCGCGGCCGGGCGAGCGGCGAGGCTCCGCCCCATCGTTGGGGGCTCAAATGAGTCCTCACGCTGAAGACTCTGAAAACTTCATTGCCTTGCGTGAGCATTGGGAATCCGCCCGTGCCAGTCGGAAACAAGTGCGGAAGAACTTCGGACGAAGCTACTTTGAGGTTCAGGGGTAGTTGTAAGTCGCTTATAAGTAGGGTAACTATGGTTATAACCCATGCTGAGGGACTTATGACTCCACTTACAACTACCCATGAACCTCCAAGTAGTGATGCACGCGGATATCGGATCATACTTCCTTTCGACATTATAGGGAACTCCAGAAAGTTGGAATATGGTTTCATGGTAGGATACCCTTTAATTTACCATAGAAGGGTTAGGATAGTCATATTCCAACTTTCTGACTTTTACATTAATTGGTGCTCGTCCTCGGCTTGGCCTGTTCGTGGCTGAAAGGCAGGCGCAGGAGCGAAGCCTCTAATATAGAATAGGGCTCCTTTAAGGCTTCCTTTTAAAGGGTTCTATAAGGATTACTATAAAGGGTATCATGGGGATTAAGTATAGGGGCCTAAATTATTACCTAGCCAAAGGGTCCTATGTACCGATATAGTAGAATGTAGGTTTTCCACATTAGGATTTACTGTTAGGACTTAGGGAAGTATCGCCCATAACAGTACAAAACACCCTTTGGGCTATACAATCCGGGGTTCCTTGTTCCAATTATAGTGTCATGGGCCTCAAAGCCCTATTCTAATTATTAACACCCGTATAGTATGCCCTTTGGGTACGCCGCAGTGTCACTGTGCCAGAATTTACCCAGAAGCCTAAATACGCCCATAATCAGAAGCTCGGCGAACTGCAACAGTACCGTTATCTTTCAGGCGATAGGTTGTAAGCATGAGCAAGATTTAACGGAGCGCTTACAGGGATTATAAGCATTTGGTAGGGTTCTCATAGGGTCTAATTTAATAAATCAAGACAACATTGCTTGCTGAAAGCCACCCTACTTGGAGGTTCAAAGCGTACTACGGTGCTCCTGGGCCCTTAGCGACTGTACCGGGCAAACCCTCCAAGTCCCTGAGCCCATTTGGAAATCGTACTTTGGAGCTCGGCATCCACCAGAAGCATACCCGAAACCTAAAAATCCCAAGATCCAAAGCCGCTTGTAACCCTAACCCCAAAACCCTGAACCCTGCACAACCATCACCGACAAGGAGCACACCGCTGACTCTGCTTCTCGTGAGACGAAACAGGCCGATGATGGCGCGCATCTGGCCAGAGACTCCAATATCCCTGAATTACGGAATATTCCTTAAATCATTTTAGGGATCCTACAATGATTTAAGAATATTCCTTAATTAAAGGATATTGGAGTCTCTGGGTCCTTAGGATTACAGGGTTGAGTGGTTAGGCTGAGTCTTGTTCGGTCATAAGCATGAGGTGGCACCTTGGGAAACTTCAAAATTTGCCCTATGGTTCCTATAGAGGTACCTATGCATAAATACTTTTAAGCGTCCCCAGAGACCCTAAACCCCAATCAGCCCTAAATCCTAGTCTCTGGACTCTAGACCGAACCCTAAATCCCAAGTACTAAACCGTTAGAGGAAGCCCGCCCCAAAACTGCAACCCAGATAATATACCCTAAACCCCTAAAGCCCTGAACCCCTAAACCCTAAACTCTGTTGGGCAGCCCGTTGGAACAAGGATCGTGCTTTTTGGGTCTATTATACTCAGAGTATAAAAATAGTTTTCAGTTTTTGCTTCCTAGAATCTCCAAGAAACAGTTAAAATCATGATTTCTGCTGGGGGGCTAAGTTCAGCAAAGGAATACCCTAAGACTCCAAATAGCCCAAAGCAGGTAGTATTTCTAGACTTTAGACCCCAAAGTAGGTAGTATTTGTATACTTGGAGTCTTAGGGATAGAGGCTGAAGCTGAAGAGCCTTACGTCGTACGTGTTGAGAATTACAGGTTCGGGCCGTGTGGATTTTCAGGTTGAGGGCGTTTAGATTGCGTGGGGCTTCCCTGGGGATCCAAAAACCTACCGCGCTTTGCTTGTCTCTGAAAGTCTAGGGTTTAGGGTGGGGGTCCAAAGACCCTCTGGGGGATGTTATTCCCTACAATGAGAAGTCATGAGCCGGCTTTTTTGCAGGGTTGGGTGCAACAGGCCAGCCTTTGCAATGACAACTTAACTTGGGTACTGCCCCCATACAGTAACAGTCTATAATAAGGCTACTACTAAGGTCCTAACAGATCCATATTATAAATATTATCCAACTGTTACTGAGGGGGGGCAGTACCCAAAACTTAACTGTAAAGTGTGATGCTGTGCTCCGACGGCCTCTTGTGCTTCACCTGGCTCATGGGGTTTAGGGTCCTTGGCCCTGAATAACCTATCGTATAGGGCTCCTTATTTAGATTTCCTTATATAAGTCCTTAAAAGGGTAGGTTATTCCGGGTTAAGGTGGGGAGTCTAAGTCTAGGGTATGGGTTCATTGACGGGGGCATCTAGGAATCTAGGACTGACAAACACCCGGACGGAAAGCAGCTCGGCAAAGCCAACCGTTGCCCTAAGGGTCCATGTACCCAAATAGTATATACTTTTTGGCCTTAAAGTAGTCCAGGACCTATTTGGTTACATGGACACTTAGGGGTCTGTCTTAGGTTTCAGAGGATTGGGAATTTCGCTGTCCAGTGGTTTTGCAAGTAACTTCCTCAGGAAGTTGCCGTAGCACTTGTGGTAGACGGCGTAGCCCGATTCAACACCTATATGAAGTCATGGCTTCTAAACCAACACCAACTGATAATACCCTGCCTGTAGAGCTTGTTTTTTCGCCACCAATTGCAACTCCAACAATCATGGTTCTTTCAAACGCCGTTGATAAAGAAGGTAACCGTTACAACTGCTTGTACCGCCAAAACCAACTAAGCCCAAAGACCCTGTGGAACCCTTATGGCGACCTTGCAGAATCACAGCAGCACTCTATAGCCTTACCTACTGTTCTTCCCACAGAAAAAGATCCCCTAAACCACCAAACCCCTAACCGACAATCCCAAAGCCATGAAACTGCCTAAACCAGCAAGCCCCGAACCTAAGCTTTTAAAGGCCCCCTACAACCCTAAACCCTAAACCGCTGTTCTGCCTTCAAGGCGGCTTCGGAACTTCGGAAAGCTGCAGACCGACAACGTGGGCCAGAGACCCGCAGGGGAAGGGTCCCTGAAAGGAATTCTTACTCTAAACCCCTAAACCATAAATCCCTAAACCCTTAAACCCTAAACCCTAAACCCCCAACCCCCTAAACCCCCTATACCCCAAACCATAAACAGCTCTAAAGAGTCCCTGAAAGGAGCCTCTTTAGGGTTTAAACAGGGGGGCCTTTAGAAGTTTCTGAGATGCTGAAGGGATCCTTTGAGGCGTCCTCCCGTAATGGAACCCATACTTGGAAGGGCAGAGGGGATTTAGTAAGGGCTCTTAAAGAGCTCCTTAAAGGGAGCTATAGGGTTCCTTAAAGGGATCTATGGGGTTTAGGGTTTAGGGTCTACTTGGAAGGGCAGGGGACTTAGTAAGTAGGTTATAAGTAGAGTTATAAGTACCCGAAATGGAGTTACCCCTATTATAACCCTACTTCTTACCTACTTACTAAATCCCCCTGCCCTTCCAAGTAGACCCTACACCCTAAACCCCATAGATCCCTTTAAGGAAGCCTATAGATCCCTTTAAGGAGCCCTTTAAGAGCCCTTACTAAATCCCCCCTGCCCTTCCAAGTAAAGGAGACTCCAAGTTCCAGGCCCTTTGTTCTTTCACTTTGCCTTTCTTATGTTAAAATATAAAGAATGAAAAGATGCATGGTTTTAACTTAAGAAAGACACAGGAAAAACAAAGGCCGTAAAGAGTTTAATTTTTAGTATGATCTTGTTAATAGTATTTCCAGGTCTTGGGATACAACTAATTCCTAATATAAGATTCTTACAACTAATACTAGATTATAAAGCGGACCTATCAGGGCTGTAAGGCGTCCTTGAAGGGCTCCTATAAGGCTTCCTTTAAGGGCTCCTTTAAGGCTTCCTTTAAGGGAAAGGGACCGTTTTCGGGTCTTGTTAGGGATTGACGTGCCGTTTTGGGGCTGAGGGTTTTGGGCCTAGGGAGGTGCGGTTAGGGGCGTTTGTTTGGGTCCCCTTGTGGTGTTTCTGGTTTAGGTTTAGGGCCTTCTATTGTAAGGTCCCGTCAGCGGTTTTTATTGATCAGAATCTACTCAGAGATCAACTTAAGCAGGGATGCGCGTATGCCGGGGATAGGGTGTATGTTTTGGCAGTTTTCCATGATCAACCCAAATTGCACATTTGCGAGTTCAACTCCCCCAGTTTTGAGATTATGATTTGTGTGCGTATTTTACATGCCGGTGGTGTGTTTTTTACATAGCCAATCGGAGGATTCCAAAACCACATAACAAGCAAGCAATTAAGCAAACACCCGTTTGGACAGCGGTTTGAGTTGAATGGATTTGTGTGTATAGGAGTATGGATTTAAGATTGAATACAGGCTGAGTTTATTACAGAATTGGAGGAGCAAAGGTCGCTCGCGGGAATTTGGTCTTCAGTTGTTTTGAGGGGCAAGCTGTAGCTCAACCCGAAGAACTTACCCGCCGTGCTTCCCCGTCGTTCTGCAACGGTGGACAACAACTTCGTGTCCAATGCCACGCTCTTCGCTGGACCAGGTGCCTTCCGCCCTCCCCTTTTGCTCTGCCTGCTCATGACATGAACGAATGTTGGTTATCTTGTGTGTGTGCATGCGACCAGCATTGTTGAAGCTTTGTTGACGGAGCATCGGTTGTTCGACTGCCACAATTTTGGACCAAGCCTGCACATTGTGCATCAAAGCTCTCTGATGACATGATGTCCATGCCTCAGGCAACACATGATGGACGCTTTTTCAGATTCATTCACACAGTTTATAGGAGCTTAACACTCGTAAGTAGCTATTGCATCACTCGCCTTAAGGTTTAAGGACTTTCAGCGTGTGGAAGCGCATGACTGATAATTTCCCGACGTTCTCCTCTACCTAGTATCCTCGCCGTTCCTTCGTAGTTCCACCTCGGCGGCCATGACCTCATCTTTTGAAGGTGTCGGCAGGGTTGCGGACAAAGCCCCGCGGGCCCCCCTGCCGGTGCACTCGACGGGCAACATGGACACGTATCAGCGGACCACGCAGGACGTCAAAGACTCGCCGAACGGGGAGGACAAGTTGTTGCTGGTCGGATACGGAGCCGACATGCTGTACCCGAAGCCTTATGCCTGCATCTTGTCTAAAACCGTCGAATTCAACATGCTGTGCTTCTGCATTGCTGCACGATTAGTGTGTGTGTGTGTGTGATTCGTTTCATCAGGCCCGGCGAACACGCCGACACACGCGAATGGACGAACCGGAGTTCTGAAGACTGGACTGGAGAAGAGCGGCTTCGGCGTCTTCGACTGGATGTACCTTGACATCGACGTTCGTGCGCTGGGCTTGAAGGACGCAGAACACGACGTTCAGAGTCCCCGCGGTACCATAGTTGCAGTGCAGTCGTTGTTGTTCCGATGTGTTGCATTACAGAGAGAGTGTGGCATGTGGCTTTTGATTGCTTTCTAAGGTTCCCCGGCGCTCAACTACAGAGTTCTCCAGCACCTGTCGGTCGGCCAGGAAGGCATGTGGCACGCGCTGGTCATGATGCTCGCTCTCATTTCCACGCTGCTCGAGTACAAGCCGGAGGGCATGAAGATCATCCTCTCGCTGTTCTGTGACGAGGTTGAAGGTGGGAATTCGTTTGTTCACGTTTATTTCGACTACTACTACGACTACTACTACTACTATTTCTACTACGACTACGACTACTACTACTACTACTACTACTACTACTACTACTACTATTACTACTACTACTACTACTACTACTACTACTACTACTACTACTACTACTACTACTACTACTACTACTACTACTAGCTAGTACTACTATTACTTCTGCTAGCACTACTACTACCACTACTACGACTACTACTACTACTACTACTACTACTACTACTTCTACTACTACTACTGCTGCTGCTGCTGCTACTACTACTACTACTGCTACTACTACTACTACTATTACTACTACGAGCTGAGGCAAACGGGGCAAACACCGTGCCGCCGGACTTTCCACCCTTGTGGCACTTGCCTTGGGTCACCCGCTGTTCCTCCCGACGTTCAACTACCCGGACGTTTGGGACATCAAGTGGTGGTCGGTCCACTTGCCACCCGTGGAGAAACGCGAGGAGGACGACCCGTTACCCAACTTCATCTCGACGGCCATCATCATGTCGAAGTACATGTTCAAAAATCCCCGTCGGAGGTCACTCGCTTACTACGCGGCGGCCACGCAGCTCGGCTTTTGTGAGCCGGACGTACCCGAGGCCGCGGCGGCCTTCTCCGAAGGCATGCAGGAGGCGGACGACGAGGGCTACCAGAAGGACACAGACTCGGAGATGATCGCGCAGGACCTTGGACGTTGGGCAGAGGTTGTGTCCGACCAGGACACCGTCGTTCCCCACACGAAGGACGACATGGACGAACCGGACGAAGACGACGAGCCGCAGGACCAGGAGGACCAGGAGGACGACCCGCCGGCGGAGGAGGAATACGTGGACGTTGAGGTCGATGACGATGACAACGACGAAGGACAGGCCGACGACGACACCGAGGACCCCGACACCCCCCGGGCGGCCGACTCGATGGCACTGCCAGGCATTGGCGACGACGGCTTCCTCACGGTGGCCAAAACACGCCGGGGGAGATCGCTGGACCAGGAGGACCCTCCACCTCCCCCGAAGGCCTGCCAGGACGACTACACGGCGGTCGACATGCTCGAGTTCCACTTGTACATGGCCCGCAAAAAAGGAGGGCAAAAAGCGGTGGACGATCTTTGCATGGAGATGGCGAGGGAAAGGGTGTCTTGGCTACTTTACATTGACTGAAATTGGTTTTTTAGTAGTCCTGGTTTGCATGAGAGACTGACTGATTGACCCGAGTCACGCGCTGTTCTTCTCTACAAGCACCCAGCCGTTGCGGCGGCAATCATGAACTACCCGTTCGATCTCGACGACGGTGTTTGGAACGCTGCCTGACTTAATTAAGCAATAAGCTCGTGTTCAGGCACGATCAAGGACTTCATTGCATCCACTGTGTCCCATGAATAAGGCGCTGGTCGGACTTGCTGAGCAATCCCCGTGGGGCCGAATTCTCGCACACGATATCGCCGGACAGATGAATCGTGCTCTGGAATGCAGCCAGACGTACTTTGCTTGCCGAGTTCAGTTGAGTGCAGCACTGTTCTGGACTGAGGTAAAGCCTCGTCGGGCAAATCTGGGGACTTAAGAAACCACTCGGCGTACTTCACGATGAACATCAACGAGAAGTCGATTGCCGCCATGCACCCGCGACGTGCCCAAGCTGAATTCTTGTCATTTGCACATGTCTATGTCACTCTCACATGTCTTCCTTTGCGGTCGGATGTGTTCTGCTCTGAGACGATGACGAAGAGTACATGGTGTTCAAGGCCGCCAAGTCTCGCCGGATCGAGAACACGTTCTCGCACATACCCGTGAAGGAGCGGAAGAAGATGGCCGTCTTGAAAACGGAGGACGACGTGCACTCGGATGACTTGCCTGGCGGCTCGTCGTACCAGTCGATCGTGTCGGACCTGAGGCCGGAGGAGAACTACACGCTGGAGACAGAAGCACGCCGGAAGCGCACGAAGTACCTCCGGGAGCAGGGCTACGACACGCCGGACTCCGGAGTTCTCGCCTTCGACGACGACCACACCTACGACCCGTCGGACTACGAGCCTGCCACGGGCGCCCCGAAGGACCTGTACTCGTACAGTCCACCCCAAAGGCCTCCTCCCCGGGTCCGGTCCACGCCGGGCGCCAAGCCACTGGTCGGACACGGCACTGTTCTGGATCCACCCGGTGAAGGCGGTCCACGATCGCGGGCCCCGCCGAAGCCTCGACCCCAAGTTCGACCCGAATGGGCTGCCTATGTGGCAAACACGGCAGCACGCGCAGCTGAGGCAGCACCACCCGCTACCACCCGACAGCCGCAGGCCCCACCTCTCAAAACCTCGAAGATCCCACCCGCTGCACCCGCCGTTTCCAGACCCGCCGCCCCTGCACC